TTTTCTTTATAAGAAAGCTTTATACATTTTTTTCTTTTTTTATTGTTCCTCTTTCTTTATGTCGAGGCTCCATAGATATTTTTCTTATTGATTAGGAGGCTTTATAAATGTTTTTTTTTTTTTCTTTATGAGGATGTTCTATAGATGTTTATTTTATTTTTTTTTGTTTCTTTTTCTGTATGATACATGATATAATGTTTGTTGATTTGTATTACATTTATCCTTCAAAGGATAAATGTAATACAAATGAATTATAAAACGGCAGAAGATATGTTTGTTTATTTTTTTTCGTGTATTGTTGCTGCTATTGTACTTGTGTTTGTTTTTGCATTTCGGGTGTATACTCAGGTGTATATCTCGTCAGCTGTGGTGGGGGCATCGTATTCCTGCTTATAGAGTGGTGGAGCCGGTGGTGCCGCCCGAGAAGTGTAATATGTCTGGGGAGGCATGGGTGGCTGCGAGGAGCGAAGAGGAAGCGAAGGCTGTTGCTTGTGAAAAATTTAGTTTGGGTGATAGAAACAAAGTTGTTGTAGTACAGGATGAAGATGTTCTCGATACATGGTTCTCTTCTGGTTTATTTCCTTTTAGTGTATTTGGATGGCCAGAAGAAACAGATGAACTCAAAGCTTTCTTTCCTACAACACTCCTTGAAACAGGTGCGCTCAGTTCAGGTGTACATACACCTCAACTCGTTCAGGTTTCTGCGTGTGTTTTTTTCTTGTTTTTTTTTTGTATTTCTTTCCTGTGAAATATCCTTTTTTTGATGATTTCATCTGTGTTTGTGTGTTTTTTATTCGAAACATCCCTTTTCCTTCTAGGGTTTAGGGTTTAGGGTTTAGGGTTTTCGGGTTTAGGGTTTCGTGTTTCGTGTTTCTGTGTGTTTTTTGTTTGTACAGGCCACGACATTTTATTTTTTTGGGTGGCTAGGATGGTGATGCTTTCTCTGTTGTTGTTGGATAAACTACCGTTTAGGAGTGTGTTTCTTCATCCTATGGTTCGGGATTCACAAGGCCAGAAGATGTCGAAGTCAAAAGGTAATGTTATAGATCCACTTGAAGTAATAAATGGAATATCTTTAGAGGAGTTAATAAAGAAACTGCATGCAGGGAATCTACAAACAAAGGAGATAAAGAGAGCAGAAGGTGTATTAAAAAAAGAATATAAAGACGGAATACCGGCTTGTGGTTGTGATGCATTGAGACTCGGACTCATCGCTTATATGAGGCAAGATAAAAATATTAACTTAGATTTAAATAGAGTTGTTGGGTATAGACAGTTCGCTAATAAAATATGGAACTGTACAAAATTCTCGATAGATAGATGGGCCCTAGATATAGACGGAAAACAAACACCATTCATACCAAAAGGTATTCACGTAAACTCAAAACAAAACAACAACAAAAACAACAAAAAAAAAGAAGAAACAGAAGAAAAAGAAAAAAAGGAAGAAGACGGTATCGTCAGCTTCGATGAACTCAAGTGGGAAGACCAGTGGATACTTCACAGGCTCTCCGTCGCATGCGAACAGGTGATATATATATATATATATATATATATATATATATA